TTTAAAGTCTATGTATTGTTTTATCATTTTTTCCAACCATGTGTGGATTATAGTCCAATATCTTTTTGTATCCAAGCATGTCCATCACATATGGTAATATGAACCAGGTATCTGATGACATTTCCAACATTTATCCAATTTATTCTTAAACATTCTTGCAATTCTTGTTGGGGGTAAGCGCCACCTGTAAAACATCTTATACAAAGTTTCTTCTTCTTTTTAAAAAATCTATTGCATTTTAGTAGACAAGAAATATGCAAAACTACAAGAATATATTCTGAAATGGTTGCTTTTGGGGGGGGGAGTCAGGGAAGGAAGGAAGGAAGGAAGGAAGGAAGGAAGGAAGGAAGGAAGGAAGGAAGGAAGGAAATAGAGAAGGAAGGAAGAAGGGAAAGGGACAAATAGACAAGGAAGGAAGGAAAAGGAGAAAGAGAAGGAAGTAGAGAAGCAAAGAGAGAAATAGAGGAGGAAGGAAGGAAGGAAAGGGAGAAATAGACAAGGAAGGAGGGAAGCAAAGAGAGAAATAGAGAAGGAAGGAAGGAGAAATAGACAAGGAAGAAAGGAAGGAAAGGGAGAAATAGAGGAAGGAAGGAGGGAAGCAAAGAGAAATAGAGAAGGAAGGAAGAAGGGAAAGGGAGAAATAGATAAGAAGGAAGGGAGAAATAGAGAAGGAAGGAAGGAGTATGGATGTAATGGAGAGGTGAGGGGTAGATGGAAGGAAGGAAGGAAGGAAAAGCAGATGTGAGAGGGAAGAAGGAAAGAAAGAAAAGCGGGAGGGAGGAAAGGAAGGAAGAAAAGAGAGAGATTAGAGAGGGAGGGAGGGAGGAATAAAGCAAAGGGAAGAAGGAAGGGGGGGAGGAAAAAGATGGGAGAAGGAGAGGGAAGGGAAGGGAAGAACGAAGGGGAAGAAAGAGAAGAAGGAAGGGAGGGAGGTGAAGAAAGGAAGGGGGGAGGAAGGAAGGAAAAGCAGAAGGAAGGACGAAAAGAGAGATAGATTATTGAGGGAGGAAGGAATAAAGAGAAGGAGGGAAGGAAAAAGATGGGAGAAAGTGGGGAGGAGAGGGAAGGCAAGGCAAAGGAAGAAGGAAGCTGAAGGAGGAGAGGAAGGAAAGAAGAAAGGGAGGGGGTGTAGAAAGGGTGGGTGGGAGGAAGAAAAATGAGAAAAGGACAGGAGGAAAGGAAAGAAAGGAAAAGGAGACGAAAAAATAAAGAAGGAAAATGGAAGGAAAAAAAGAGTGATTATTATCTCGGTGTGTAGTTATCCATGACCTGATTTCTAATTATTGCAAATAATTCTAAACTAATTTAAAAACAACAACTTTGCACCAGCCCACCAATGCAAATTCCGGCCCATTTTGCCACGGAGACGAAAGAGCGATCAAGGCAGCGTTTCCCGTTACAACTTTAAGCAAAAGGATCCTTTCAAATCCCAGGCAGAGCGCAGCCTTCGGCAACAAGAGGAGGAAGCCGTGGGCGCAAGGGTTCCGTCCCGGCGTTTCTCCTGGCGAGACTGTCAAAGCACTTGTTGCATTCTCATGATGTTAGTGAAACCAGCCCCGGGTCTCCACCCGCTGACGATGATCGCCACGTCTTCCAAGCGTAGGAAACCTCGCACACGACCCATCTCAAATCCGAATTGCACCCGGTGATCGAGGTCTTCCGCCCAGGCGCCCAGCTTAGTGCCCTGCCAAACCACCGGGAAAATCCCGCGGTACACGTTTTCTTTATATGCAGTTGACATTGTCATTTTATAATTTTGAGACCACAATTTTTGCCATTTTATCTAGGTCAATTCCATATCCAAAATTTTCCAATAAGCAATCATCGTTTCTTTAACTTGTTCTTCCTCTAATTTAAACTCCAACAAATGTCCATAAAGTTTTTTAATTACTTTTTCATCAGTACCTGTTAAAATTTTATCTAAATCAGTCAACTTATCATAGATACCTTCTGTTTTAATATCTTTATCAATTGTATTTGATTGTATTTGCAAATATGAAAACCAATTCATTTTTACACCTTGTTCTTCCAGCACTTGCATAGATTTAAGTTCACCCTTTTCATTCAGTATCTCACCATATCTGTTTGTTCCTTTTTATATATTATTGGATTAAAAAAAGCTTCAATAGTAGATAACCATAGTGGCATTTTTAAATAATATTGCTTTTTTATCTTCTCCCAGTTTAAAAACAATGCTTCTGGAATATAATGTCTTCTAAAGCACCAGATTATCTTGAAAAGGATCTGGAATGTATGTCCTTAAATCAGTCCAAAGAATAATAGTTCAATATTTTAATTAAAAAATACTTTTAAAATCTAGTTTATAGAATAATCCTAAAAAAAGTACAATGGAATACTTCTATTTGAGAAGGAAGGAGTATAACATTAAATTTCCTAAATTAAATGTTTTGCTTTATCTTTTTAATATGCAACTCAATCTTGTTACACTTATTTTGAATGATTTAATTTCTTGTTCAAGCAAGATTTGCCAATAAATCTTTGGAATCCTTTATCTCAAAAATGCACTTGCTCTCTTGACAATCAAACCCACGAATGGTCCAATGTGCAGCTTGTGTTACTGGCATGCAAAAATCTACTTTGTCCCATTGCTGCTGACTTGATTCATAAAATCTTCCAGTCAAGAGATATTAAAACTATAGTTGAGATTTAATTTTTAAAACGGATTTTCTCTTGAAAATTGGGAGGGGGGGGTTTAGTATTCTGATACATTAAATGTAAACTAAGAAAGGGATCACATAGAACAGACATTTGAAGCACCTCAGTACCACAGGCAAGAAACCCTATACCATTTCAGACAAATGGTTGTCCAATCTCTTCTTAAACGCTTAGTGTTGTACTAGGAAACTAGGTCATGTCCAATACTTGTGAATTTGACCTAGTAGTCATGTGATTTGCCAGGGCAGGGCGGGTCTTGTACTGAGTCTGAGAGGAAATGCCATCTTCTCACCTTGTGGGAGCAAGTTAATCATGAAGATCTGTTGTGTGCTTATCTTAACTTGATCTGAGGAGTCCTCCTGGATGCACTCTGAACTTGCTTGTTTTCTTGCAGATGTTTCATTACCCTAACTAGGTAACATCGGTGCTAGTAAGGAATGATGTTTGCTACCAGTTTATATTCTGGTGTGGATGTGGGTGATCTCAGAGATTCTTTGGTTGGGCTGTTTACAGATTCTTTGGTAGGTAGTTTCTTGACTGGGTTATTGTTTACTTGATTATTAGTCTGAAGTTAACCTTGCAGTTAATCTATGCTGATCAGGGTGTTGATTACTGGTGGAGAGGTGCTGGAGTCTTTTTGTCCTCTTGGGAGCTTTTGTATAGTTAATAGAGCAGTGATGGCTAACCTTTGGCACAGCTCCTGTGCCAAAAATTGTGCACGTGCTGGTGGATGCACGCTGATGAGTCAGCACCCAGAAGGCAATGCGCGTCCCCCCTGCCCCCTGTGCATGGGCAAACTATCCCACTGCCCCCCACTGCCCTCTTACCTGCACTGCTCCTCACAGATGATTTTTGGCTGGTTTGAGGCCTTTTTTGTCCTCCCAGAGACTTGAAAAAAGCCTCTGCAGGCTGAATAGGCCCGTTTCGTCACTTACAGGAAGTGATGAAATGGGCCTATTTGGCCTGGAGAGGCTTTTTTCAAGCTTCTGGGAGGCCTCAAACCAGCAAAAAATCAGCTGTGAGGTGCACGCATGCGCAGTGAGGCAAGTTTGCCTGTGGCTCGTGTGCTGGCACAAATGGCTCTGCGTGCCACCTGTGGCACACATGCCATAGGTTTGCCATCACAGCTATAGAGATTGTTAATGCCTATGTGTAGGTTGATGGCTGGTTTGTCAGAATGCTAGGCTTCTAGAAACTCCCTGGCATCTTTGGATTTGGCTTGGTCTAGGATTGTCACATTTTCCCAATTGAAACTATAGAAATGGAGATTTGGAATTATGAGAAACGACAAGAAATGCCTGCAGAACAAGAAGATTGCGACAAAGAAGAAGCCACCTTTAATGAACAAGTAATCTTAGATGGGGGAAAAAAGGAAAGGGGGGAAAAGAGAATGGAAAGTTTAAGATTGGGAAAAACAACTCCAAAAAAAGATGTTAAGATTTTAATGATTAATGATAGGACTGAACTGGAATGGAATGAGGGTTTATAATTACATACATTTACAATCTTTCTTTTTTAAAAAAAGAATATAGTGTGTATTATAAGAATGTACCAAGCAGAATTCGATTGGAAGTTATGTATTATGTATTATATTGAAGGTCATAAACTTAAGGTATATATTGAAGTTTTAAAAAGAGTTGAACGGATGTAATTAAAAGATATAAAGGTGTCATACTCCAATTAGTAACTACAGGAGAAAATTTGTTTAATGAGAAAAGATAATATGAAATTGAAACAGAACAGACAAAAGTATAAATATAATGATTTGAATTGAGATGAGATTCAAAATAAAATTGAGAAAATTAAAAGAGGGGAAAAACTATATAGAAAATGTAAAATAGTATAAGATATGGAATAGAATACAAAAAGGAGCATGAAATTGAGTTTTGTGTCTGTATAAAGAAATTCAACCCGGGACCATGCTATTTTCAAAAAAGACGTTTTACTTGTAATTTATGTGTGAAAACCCAAATAAAACTTTATTTAAAAAAAAAAGAAATTTGTCAAAATGACTATAACCAGTGAAAGAAGTCACTCCAAAGCCAATAGGTTTAAACTACAGTATATATAAAGCAATTGCCCAGCTTTTTAAGCTAGTCCTCTTTTGGTTGAATGATCAGTGAGACACCCTCTGTACTTATGAACATAAAAAAGAGCTATTTTAATCTGCCTTTCTGGCTTAAGCTGTTTTGGCAAGACACACCAGACTAAAGGACTTGCCAACATTTACAGCTAACAAGTTTTCCTTGGAAAAAGGAGAGTTGAACATGTAGTTATGGCATTGTTTTGAATTAGTAAGCAGGCAATTTCATGCAGACACTCCATTAGCACTACTAATTCAATTTTATTGTATATATATAGGAAATAACAGTATCGAACACTCTACAGACTTGACTTTAAATGTATGCAAACTTCAACTAATCTCTTTGGGATCAGAGTAATTATTGTATGTAACTGCTATTAACATTTCTATTGCCAATGACTTGTTTACCAATCACTTGTGTTCCAATTTTGCTAGGTGTTTTTTTCCTCTTTTCTGTAACATCAGACCTCCTTCATAATACATCAGAAAAAATAAATGCAATCCAGAATATAAACAAAGAACTAATAAACTGTATACATCGTCAAAAATTCTTGCTGCTTGCTTCTAACAATAATGAAAAAAAAAGTTCTTTTAAAACTTGCCACCATTCAGTGTGGTGCTTAAAGGCTGCAATTGAAAAATAAACAAGCTAGTGAATAAAATAAAACAATATAATATGAATTGCTTCTCCTATCACCACTGGTGCAACACTTCTCACAATTCCTTCCAGGGTTTGTTGTTTTTTTCTTACTCTGGCTGGTCATAGGCTGGTGGAAAGGATGAATTTGTTTCAGTTGAGACTGGTGCATATCCGCTGATTACTTGGTAACCCATGGCTGCCTGCAACAGAAAATAATATTTATACATAAAAATACTGTGCCTTGGGGACATCTTACTCCAGGTAGGAGGAATAGCTTCTCCAGTTGTGTATTTTTAATTCTAGCCTTGTGCTCTCCTGGAATAAGCTGGGGCCTTATCCTCTGAAACCTTCAGAGAGCTATAAGCTCTGATAGAGAAGTCTTTAAAGGTAGAAATTAACATCCAAATGACTTATAGCAGGGGTGTCCAACCTTTCACCTTCCCTGGGCCACATTAGAAGATGAAAATTTGGTTTGGGCCGCACATAAAATAAAATAACAGTAACAATACCTGATCATCCAAAAAAACCATAGAAAACATAGTTAACATATTAAATTTATTTGGAAATGAAGTTAGTGAGATGTTTTTATTATTAATTATTTATTAAAAATTATTTATTTTTTATCACAGTTTTTTTATCACGGTTTTTTTTATCATGGTTTATTTTCCGGCCAAATTTTGCGGGGGGGGGGGGGGGAGAAAGCTCACCCGCCTCGCGCCTACCTCTCCTCCTGCAAATGGCCCGGCTGGATGAGGCAGGACTGGGAGGCAGAAGCAGCAGCAGCAGCGGGTGCAGAAGCAGCGGCGGGGGCAGTGGCGGCGGGGGCAGAAGCGGCAGCGACGGCAGGGGCAGAAGTGGCAGAAGCGGCGGCGATGGCGGTGGTGGCAACAGCAGGAGGTGGCGCTCTGACGGCACCTGCTTTTTCTGTTGCTGCTTGGCCTGGTGCTCGCCTCGCCCTGCCTCGCGCCTGCTTCTCCTCCTCCTCCTCACTGGCTCTGGCACAAAGGTTGGGGTGGGCACTGGGCCGCATTACAAGGTGACCTGGGCCGCATGCGGCCCTTGGGCCGCAGGTTGGACAAGCCTGACTTATAGCCTGGCCACTTAATCACCTTTCTTTGATCTACCCACCTGGTCCAGATATAATGAGATAAAATTATTATCAAAGGATCAAACACTTACCTGGTCATCAGCACAGCAAGTTGCCTGGCATCCAAAATGTGCAAGTGAAACAGCGATGGAAAATTCCAGCAATCTGAACAAGAACAACACGCTGGAGAGGCAAATGCCGACTTTCTGTAGAGTAGGGAGGACACATGTGGAAAGATTGTGATTTGCTGAGCAATTAACCCATCTATGTGCTACACCATTAAAAGGGACTCCCAGCTGCTTCCTTGGAAACACCAAGAGGAACATTATATCAGGAAAATACAGGACAGTATATAGTCTCTGATATTATGAGAAAACCAGATCAGAGGATATTGTAGCATTATTATGTTTTGGAGTATCTCAAATATACCCCAGATAATCAAACAGGGATCTGTAATATTTCAGATCCATGTATAAAATATTTGCACAAGGGCACATACTTCACCTGAACCTTGTTACTCTGTTATGCACCATAAAAAGATGTTCATGTGGGACAAAGCAGAGAAGAACAATCCAACATATATTCTAACTCATTAGTTTTACAGATGCAAACATTCAAAGCCAATTCAAAAACTACCAGCAGAGATAAACAATAATAAGTAAACAACAACCTGACCCAAGAACACACCCATCAATACTGATACAGGAAGCCACTAGTGTATGAACAGAGATCAGCCAAGAACCCCATTTAAAAGTGGTTTTTTTTTTCATTCCAAGGAAATATGTGAAAACAAGCAAACTAAATTTAACTTACTCATTTGGTTTTCCCAATGTCAGTAGCTCTATCTAACATGCTTTACAAGTTTGGCTGAGTGCATTAGGATCCAGATTTTAAGGAGAAAATCTTACCAGGGTTGAATTGTTGAACCCTGGAAAGCCCCACAGCCTCCAGGCATCATAAAATAATGTCCACAGCATCCCTCATTTCATCTAGGCCAGAGATGTATAACTGGGTATCATCAGCATACTGGTGATACTTCATCACTTGGTGATAGCTGATCTTACCCAGCCGTTTCGTGTAGGTGTTAAAAAGGAGCAGAAAGGGCACTGAGCCCTCTGTCATCCTGCCAAGCAGGATCTGTGGACCCCTTGCTTCCTATTAACATAGATTGGGACCGACCTCAGAAGAAGGAGGTGAACCAGCATAGAACTGTACTTCCTACCCTCAACTCCATAGGACAGCCCAAAAGGATACTGCAGCCAAGAGTACTGAAAACTGCTGAGAAGTTAAGAAGAGCAAGGAGGGATGCACCACTTCCAGCATGATCTCATCAGAGATCATTCTTTAGTGCAAACAATATTGTTTTTGTCCCATAAATAGGCCAGAAATTTGATTGAAAAAGAGTCCAGATAATCTGTTTCCTCCAGGATCATCTGGATTGCAAAGCCACTACCATCTCTAGACTGGACAAAAATTGTCCAGAACAGTGGAGTCCAGTGATAACTACTTGAGGAGGGGTTTTACCAGTACCTCTTTAAAAGGAGCTGGGAGTATACCCTCTTACAAGGGTGTGCTCCCAGCTCCTTTTGTTTGTGTTTTAGAGATATGAAAAATTATCTTAAAATTGAAAGACTTATATGATTAAGGTTACACGGTGCTTATTTTTTTGCATATGTTAATCTTTTAAAAAATAAAGTTTCTAAGAGAAGAAGAAGAAAAAATGATGAAAAATTAACCTGTGGGCTGCTATTTCAAGGGATTAAAGATTAAACATTTTAGTACATTGTTGCTTCTGATAGCTCTTAATAATACTTTGAATGGTGAGGTTTAAAGATTTATAAATAAAAGATATGGGGAAAAGCACTGCACACCAGAACAACTAGATACAAGAACAGCTTTCCCCCGAAAGCCATCACTCTGCTAAACAAATAATTCTCTCAACACTGTTCAACTATTACAAAGTCTGCACTACTATTACTGTTAATCTTCCCATCACTCCTTACCACCCATCCCTTCCCACTTATGACTGTATGACTGTAACTTTGTCACTTGTATCCTTATGATCTATATTGACTGTTTCCTAGTATGATTTGATTGCTTATTGTACCCTATGACTATTACTAGGTGTTGTACCTGATGATTCTTGACTCCTGATGAATGTATCTTTTCTTTTATGTATACTGAGAGCATTTACACCAAGACAAATTCCTTATGTGTCCAATCACACTTGGCCAATAAAAGAATTATTATTATTATTATTATTATTATTATTATTATTATTATTATTATTATTATTATTATTATCATCATCATCATCATCATCCTTTTTTCCTTGCACTGTTCATTTTTTTCTTTTTATATTTTTCTTACTTTGTATTAGGTTCTTTGGGGATTTTTGAATTTTAATAATCATTATTATAAAAACAGCATTCGAATGAAATACAGATAGTCCTCGACGTATGACCACAATTGAGCCCAACATTTCCGTTGCTAAGTGAGACATTTAAGTGAATTTTGCCCCCTTTTATGACCTTTCTTGCAGTTGTCAAGTGAATCACTGCCATTGTTAAGTTAGTAATATGGTTGTTAAGTGAATCTGGTTTCCTCAAAGACTTTGCTTGTCAGCCTGCAAAAGGGGATCACATGACTTTGGGTCACTGCAACTGTCATAAATATGTGTCAGTTGACAAGCATCTGAATTTTGATCGTGTGATCCTGGGGATGCTGCAGTGCTGAAAAACGGTCATAAGTCATTTCCCCCCCTGCTATTGTACATTTGATTGGTCACTAAACAGTTGAAAGTTGAGGACTACCTGTAGTAATCCTGTCTTTGGGACTGAGATGTATTTTAGGAAAAAATTGTCGGAATCAAAGATGTAGCTTATTGATCTATTAGATTCAATACGTCCTATGGGTGATAGCAGGCCCCAGAAGAAAAAGACCTGATGAACCAAAGTTTTCAGCTAGGATGGTTTCAAAATATACCAGAGCTATTTGTAATCCTGCTTAGCTGTTGCTAACTGCGAAAACATTTTTTTGCAAAGTATGCACTTGGATGGGTAAGGTTAAAACAGGAAGAATGAGGAACTGAAAGTAAGGTTCACAGGTGTTTATAGAAAGTGAGTTAGTGAAGCTGTGAAGCGTGTATTCTTAAAAAAAGAAAAAAATATAAATATATGTAATTAAAACAACACATTCCATTCCAATTCAATTCTATCATTAATATTAATATTCATTAAAATCTTAACTTCTTTAACATTACTTTTCAATTAAATATCATACTTCTATGGGAACAATTATAAGCTTTCCATAATTAATTCCCCCCCTTCACTTATAAAACATTAACTAATTAAAATGTTCCCATCCCTTCCTAATTCAATTTTCTCATTTATTTTATTTCACTTATTTTATTCACAAACATTTCACTAAATTACACTATTTTATCCCTCATTTTAATTATACATTGTTTCCAATTTTCTAAGGTTATTTCTATTACTAATATAACAATACAATCTTATGTACCTTTACAGAATCCTTTTTTCAGTTAAATTTTTACCCATTATCTCTAAATAGGTCCTGTTTCTCTGTATCTTGTTCCGGTCCTTTGTAACTTCTTTTCCTTTCCTTCTTCCCTCTCTCCTTTTTACCCCCTTGTCTCTCTACCTCTATTTGTCTCTTCTGTATTCCCCTCTTCTGTTGCTTTCCAGTATTATACTTATTTTTCGAATTATTTTTCTTTTCTTTGGTTGTTTTTTAAGTCTTAAATTCTCCATTCTCTTTCCCCCCTTTCCTTTTTCTTCCCCACATAGAATTACTTGTTCATTAAAGATGGCTTCTTCTTTGTCCCAGTCTTCTTGTTTTGCAGACGTTTCTTGTTGTTTCTCATAGTTCCAAATCTCCATTTCTGAGAATTGAAAAACGAAGCCAAAAGAACCTCTCCCTTCTTGTGCATCTTCTTTATACTTTTTAAGTTCTATTTTCAATTCATCCAGAAGTAGTGCCATTGTATAAATTTTTAAACAACCACCCGATTAATTTTAGTCATTCAAATGCAATAACCAAGAATCCAAAGATCACCAAGTAATCCAAATACACGCAAGCTGTTTCTTTTTGCTCTTTTTTCTCACTTTCTCTTCCTGGGGTTCGACTGTTTAGTTACAAAGATTCAGTTAAAATGTATCTTTTAGAAGTCTTGTTGAAGTTTTACTGTAGATTCTTTTTAATTCCAGGCAGTCTCTTCTCTCTTTCCAGATCCTGCCCTTTTATTCTTTTTCTCTCCTTTCCTGCTTATGAAAAAAAAATTTAGTGTCCAGAAATCTTTATTATCCATTTTACATTTTGTTTTATTTTCAGCTTAATTGCCTGTTGATGTCAAAGTGGATTTTTCCGATTTCTTATTTAAGTCTCTTAGTTGTCAGTATAGGGAAAGGGAGAGAAGAAAAAAAAAACCAAACTTTTCCCTTTTCACTTTCCTTCGCTGCTTCCGACTCTTCTTTGGGAGCGATGTTATTTTTTTGTAAGTTTAAATTCCAGGGTACCTTAGTTGTTGCTTTTGCAATTTAACCCAGTCAGCCAAAACTTTCACTTCTTATCTTCCTCCTACACATTCTTTTCCGGTCGAGTTCTTCTTTGAGGTGGCCATTTCTGACCACCGCTGCAACCGCCTTCGGGAAAGGGAGTAATGGCCAGCTGAGGAGGAGAGATGCGGCTCTCCCCAACCCTGCTGGCAGTCTCCCCTCTCTTCACCACCTCTATGGGGTGGCTTAGCCCTGAAACCAGCTGGCTCAGGGAGCTCCAGTGGTGAGCCCGGACCAAAACTGCGCACAATCATGGATTTCTGTCTGTCGCCGAAGGAACTCAAACCGGAAGACCGTTCTTTTTGTTAATTTTATTGTTTTAAATGTGGTTTTATATTCCGTAAGCCGCCTTGAGTCACCATGGCGAATAGGCAACAATATAAATAAATAAATAAATGAAGGATAGGGTTGGAGATCAGCTTGGGGCCCTTTGATTTATGGCAGTCCTTGCAGGATCTGCTGTATCTCATTGGATCCCATTGCAATGGCTTATTAATGTAAGAGTATTACTGCTATTATATCTTTTATATCTATTCATTTCTTATGTTCCAAATTATTAGAAACAATAAACCTCTGATCTTAAAGTAAGAATTTTTGTTTGTGTTGCTGTCTGTTTCCTATTGGTATTTTTTATGACAGATTTCAAACCAAATTCAATGGGCCTGGTGTTGATTCTAGATTCTGATTCAAAAGGTTCTTAGGTAGAAATGACAGAAGTAAAGTTCAGGCCTTAGCAGGCCTTTGGAGTTGTGGAAAGTTCCATAAGAAACCACATCCTGCAAATCTGGATTGCAGCTCTTTATTCGCCCCAAACCATACCTCTAACACTGTGATATATCTATTGTGTACATAAATATCCTTCTGGATTCTAACATGAAGCCAAAATTCTAGAGCAGATTTGGTTTACTTACTTTTATCCAATCCTCTGAATTGAAATTTAAAGAAAAACTATCACCCATGGTCAGCTCAAGTATATACAGCAGAATACCGAATAATGCAATTATGGCACTTGTGATGTTCATCCCTACACAACATTTCACCTGAAAGACAAGAGCAATATACCAGTGGAAGAAAAATGAAAATGAAAGCACAATTCAAACCATAGGGAAAATTACAACCAACTATGGTAAAACCAGTAATAAAATATATCTATGTATGTGTTTAATGGTGCATTATCAATCAGTAGAGAAGCCAGACAACATGCAGTTATATCATAGGCATCACACAGTAGCATCAACAGGATTCCTCACAGTGGAAATGCAAAGCCCATGACTCATTTGAAGGATTTTCTAACAACGTCAAATTCCTTATTTTTTTTTTTCTGGATGTCAGTCTCCATTGGACTCTAGGTAGTTAAAAGTGATAGGAAAACTGGTAAGGTTTATCAAACATTTTGGCTAGGACATAACACGCTCTGTAAATGTTAATGTTAAATGCTCTTTTAACATCACAGAGAGGCAACTAGAGAAATGGGAAGGGAGAAACCCTTGGAGCCAGTAGTGGGAATACTGATAATTTAAAAATTGCTGTTTTTGCTTCTCTCTTTTCAGAAATGTAGTATTTCTTTGATCAAGGTAGTTAAAGTTTTTCTTCTGCTGAATCCATACTGTTTTTCTTTGCAAGAAAAAAAAAACCTTTCCTGTGTTGCCATGAATACTTTAAACAACGGGTCTCCAACTTGGCAACTTTAAGACCTGTGGACTTCAACTCCCAGAATTCCTCAGCCAGCTTCTGGGAATTGAAGTCCACAAGTTTTAAAGTTACCAAGGTTGGAGACACCTGCTTTAAACCAAAGAGAAACAGGAGAGAAGAAAGCAAGCTCTTTGTAGGAGGGCTACTATCAGCTCTCTCTTCCATTTGATTCCCATACTCATTCCATACTTTTACTCCTAATACGCAGGGCTTCTTTCCAATGTTGCTTTCAGGTAGGGACACTTCTGAAATAGGACCCTCTGTCAAGACAACAGAAGAGGAAGAGGAGGAGAAGGCGGCATGTGGGAGTTCTGGTTCAAGAACAGAGGATGCAAGAAGACACCTCTTTGCTCAGGACTAGCATTATAGCTTAGGAAATTCTGGTAGAACAAGAAGTGATTTCATGGTCTATGGCACTTTCAGGCTACTCTCATTTCTGGCATGCTTCTGACAGATTGCACATTAGGAATGGAATTTGGGAAGAAGCCCAATGCCAAAAGGTGGAACCTCTAATTCTGGATTGCTGACATAGAACTTTCAATGGAAGCAAGGCTTGGAACCAAAAATTGACCAAAGAAGGAAGGTGGTATGATTTTTGTTTTTGCTTCTTTCCCAAATGTTTGTTTAAGACTGAGCAGTAGACAATATGAAGTGTCATGAGTGCTTACAAAGAAATAGCATAAAAGACATTCAAAAGCCTTATAGCTTTCTCACCAAACTACGATTTTGATTCTTCGCAGCTGATATACATAGTGATCCAGAAGAAATGAACTGGAAAAAGAAAAAAAAATATTGTAGTCCACTGGAAATATCAAGGGAAAAAACATCAGAAAAATCCGGGACCCATGGAAATAGTCTTTTACAACAATATACAGGTGAAACTCGAAAAATTAGAATATCGTAAAAAAGTTCATTTATTTCAGTAATGCAACTTAAAAGGTGAACCCAATATATGAGATAGACTCATTACATGCAAAGCAAAATAGTTCAAGCCATGATTTTTCATAATTGAGATGATCATGGCTTACAGCTCATGAAAACCCCAAATCCACAATCTCAGAAAATTAGAATATTGTAAAAAGGTTCAATATTCTAGGCTCAAAGTGTCCCGCTCTAATCAGCTAGTTGAGCCGTAACACCTGCAAAGGGTTCCTGAGCCTTTAAATGTCTAGTTCAGTCTAGTTCAGTAGGAATCACAATCATGGGGAAGACTGCTGACCTGACAGTTGTGCAGAAAACCATCATTGACACCCTCCATAAGGAGGGAAAGCCTCAAAAGGTAATTGCAAAAGAAGTTGGATGTTCCCAAAGTGCTGTTATCAAAGCACATTAATAGAAAGTTATGTGGAGGGGAAAAGTGTGGAAGAAAAAGGTGCACAAGCAGCAGGGATGACTGCAGCCTAGAGAGGATTGTCAGGAAAAGACCATTCAAAAGTGCTGGGGACTTTCACAAGGAATGGACTGAGGCTGGAGCCAGTGCATCAAGAAGCACCACACACAGACGGATCCTGGACATGGGCTTCAAATATAGTATTCCTCTTGTCAAGCCGCTCCTGAACAACAAACATCAGAAGTGTCTTACCTGAGCTAAAAAAGAACTGGTCTGTTGCTCAGTGGTCCTAGGTCCTCTTTTCTGATGAGAGAACCTTTTGCATCTCATTTGGAAACCAAGGACCCAGAGTCTGGAGGAAGAATGGAGAGGCACACACTGAAAGATGCTTGAAGTCCAGTGTGAAGTTTCCACAGTCTGTGTTGATTTGGGGAGCATTGTCATCTGCTGGTGTTGTTCCACTGTATTTCATTAAGTCCAGGGTCAACGCAGCCATCTACCAGGAGATTTTGGAGCACTTCATGCTTCCTTCCACAGATGAACTTTATGGGGATGCTGACTTCATTTTCCAGCAGCTAATTGGCACCTGCCCACACTGCCAAAAGCACCAAAATCTGCTTCAATGACTGTGGGATTATTGTGCTTGATTGGCCAGCAAACTCGCCTGACCTGAACCCCATAGAGAATCTATTTGGCATTGCCAAGAGAAAGATGAGAGACATGAGACTGAACAATGCAGAAGAGCTGAAGTCTGCTATTGAAGCTTCCTGGTCTTCCATAACACCTCAGCAGTGCCACAGGCTGATAGCTTCAATGGAACGCTGCATTGAGGCAGTAATTGCTGCAAAAGGGGCCCAAACAAAGTACAGAGTACATATGCATGCTTATACTTTTCAGAGGTCCGATATTGTGCTATGTACAATCCTTGTTTTATTGATTGCATGTAATATTCTAATTTTCTGAGATTGTGGATTTGGGAGTTTCATGAGCTGTAAGCCACAATCATCTCAATTATGACAAATCACAGCTTGAACAATCTTGCTTCGCATTTAATGAGTCTATGTCATATATTAGTTTCACCTTTTAAGTTGCATTACTGAAATAAATGAACTTTTGCACGATATTCTAATTTTTCAAGTTTCACCTGTATTATTTTATATATGCTTATCATTTTAATTTTGTGAAGTCAACCTTAATTGTTTTGGATTGGGCAGCCTAGAATATTAATAAATATTCCCCCCCACCCCTGCAGAAACAGACCTGCATCATCCTTAAAAGAATTTAAGACTTATAGGGAAAAGTGTTTGGATGTCAGGAACTTGTAGAAAACACATAGCAAAATGGCACTCTTTTGTCTTAAATGCACCAGCCACCCTCAACAGGTTGGGCAGGAAACCCAAATACCGTATTTTTCAGAGTATAAAATGCACTTTCTCCAACCCCAAAAGGGGGTGGAAATGTCTGTGTGTCTCATACACCAAATGTTGCCAAAGCCCCATCCACCCACCAGCCCCCTCCATTTGGCCCTTGCCTCCTAGCAAATTGCCTCCTTGCAGCAAACAGCAAACAGCTTGTTTCAGTTTCAGTTTCAGTACAGCCTGATTAGCACAAGCAGATGATTGTCGGTTGGATCGGCCTTCCAACAATCAGCTGTTTCAGGCTGCAGGGATTGCCACTGCCTATTGCCGCCTCTGTGTGCCCCATTTTTGGCCTCCTCATCCCATTTTTTTTTAAACAAGTTTTATTGATTTTACAAACAAACAAACAAGACAAAACATCATTAAACATTAAAAACATAAAACCTCTTTCCATTGTAGATCCTTACAAGGCAGGTAACATATTGCTTTATATCACATACTTATAATTTATCCCATTTCCATATAAACACATAAATTCCCTTTACCAAATTCCACATTGTTTCTCTTTAATCATTATTCAATCATATTTCCTTTCTGATTTATCTGCTATCTAGTCATCAACTTTATATTTCCCTCTGGCTTGTTTATAATTATTCTCATCTGGTCTTCTTCCGAGATTTTATTATTTAATTCTTAGTTAAACACACACACATAAAACACAGACATAAAAAACATAAAGCTTTCTTCTAGAAAGATCTAATAAAAGGCTAAAATATCAAGGTATAACTTTTAAAGGTTTAATAATGAATGATAATAAGCTTTAATAAAATACTAAAGGGAATGTTTAAAATATTAGTTTGAATATAGAGCTTAATGGATTAATGTGTTGATTGTTATGGATTTATTATTGTAGTATTGGTTTTTGAAATAGTAGAATGTACTAAGCAGAATCTGATTGGGATTTAGGTGTTATTTTAAATTTTAACTTAGGGGAATGATAGAAAGGCATCATACTCCGATTAGTGATTCCAGGGGAAACTATTCTTTCTTAAATTGGAAATGAGACAGATGTAAATGGAGAAATGGACAAAAGATATAAAAATAATTTTTTTTTAAAAAAAAACAAGATTAAATATATAAAACAGAATTAAGATGAGGCAAAAGTGGAGAGGAGTTATATAATAGATATAGAATGGTAAATAAGATGGGTAATGGTATATAAGAAAAGCGTGAATACAACTGAGTCCATATAAAAAGAGGTAATCTGGGGCCAAGTTACTTTCTCCTCATCCCATTTTTGGTCTCCGTGTGCCCTGTTTTCTGCCCATCCCAATTCCCGCTGCCCGGAACAGGCCGAAAATGGGACGCATGGAGGCAGTAAAAGGCAATGGCAATCCCTGCAGCCTGAAACAGCTGATCATTGGGAACCCAATCCAACTGACAATCAGCTGCTTGTGCTAATCAGGCTGTGCTGAAACTGAAACTGGCTGTTTGCTGCAAGGAGGCAATTTGCTGAGAGGCAGAGGCAGATTTTTTTTTCTTGTTTTCCTCCCCAAAATCTAGGTGCATCTTATACTTCAGAGCGCCTTATACTCCGAAAAATACATAACTCGAAAAACTATGCCAAGGGGAAAAGAGGAAGGGGATAGAAAACTCTCAAACAGGCCAGTGGAGGTGAGCATAATCAATCCTTAGGGAACACTGGAATGAAGCAAAGTGAGGAAATTTTTGGAGCTGGTTTTTAGGATTCCATACCAAAAAAAAAAGTTTCAGCTTCCATGGAGATAAGAGACCTCAAATTTCCACAGCTTACTTTTTAAACTAAATCTGATTGCTACTTTTCCAAAATATAGTTTCCAACTATTTTTTCATTTCCCTTCCTCTTCCTCTACAAAAGAGGCCTTTTCTTTTCTATTTCTTTCTTCAGATTCATTAGAACGTTTTCCTAATTTATTTAAGTGGCATTTTGGAGCCTATATTCTTCTAATGTAGGACAGTAATGAGTTCTCATCTGTTACTCAGATGGCTTTTTAAAATAAAAGTCCCCTTGGACCATCTCTCATAATGAGGAAATCAGGGTGCTGCAGGGCAGACAGGACTTTGATAGGTGCTCTTGGCCATTAATTCCATCGTGAATGATTGAACAGGAATTTGCACATACTTACTAAGATCCCTCCCCAAAAGGAGTAACCTCCAAATACAGAAATGGCAAAGTAGCCTGTGAACGCAAGGCACACTGCAACAGCCCCAAGGCCAAAGTGCATCAACCCAATCATGATTTGGACGGTCTACAGAAGGAAAACACACAAAATAAGACAAGTTAACTCTCTGAATCCAAGAAATACAAATATTCTAATTTGTTAGCACCCCAGAAAAGGCATCACTTTCTATCAACCTAAGGTCCTTCAAAGGTGTTGACCTTTTAAGCTTGCAGTGCAGGGCTTGACCCAAGGCCTGGTTTCCTATGGGGAAAAATCCAAATGGGGAGAAGGGGCAGTTTGAGACACTATTGTCACTATGTGCTGTGTCAACTTAAAAGATACTCCTTTGGTCTTCTTAGCTGCCAACAGAAAGGGAGTGGGGGAAAATTCCTTAAGTGCCTCAGATAATCCCCTTGTCAGCCCAAAGTTGTCGGTGCACAAGAATATTACTGGAGAGCATGATTGATGACTCTTGGCTATGAATGTGTCCCATTGGAGAATATACATCCGGGGGTGGGGGGAAGACCAGGGTCAAGGGGGAAATGAAAGATGTATTTTAGTGTCAGCTGCATCCAGCTAATGCCAACATGGCTACTTCTAATAAATCTTTTTGTTTTACTCTGAGAGATGAGGCTAAAGACTTATGATTTGAATGGAGGTGGATTTGTTGGAGCTGTCATGCCCCTGGTGGAGTCTGACTCTGAGGAAGAGGAGGAACAGCCAACAGGGAGTGGGAGTGTGGCTCCAGAGGTGGTGGAGGAGGCTGGGGAAGGGCAGAGGCTGGCTGAGCAGTCAGAGGAGGATCCAGGCCCATCCCCTTTCCATCCTAGGTCATGCAGGGAGGAAAGGATCAGAGAAAAGCGGGGTCTATTCAAGAGGAGATTACCATGATCCTCCTTGTGGCTTGCAGGTGGGAGCTATGTATATAAATTTCCAACTGCACAGTTAGAATTGCTGAAGTCAATTAGTGTACACCTTGAAAGAGGTTTATCGTTGCTGGTGTTCTTCTCATGGACTTTTCTCGGCTATTTTCCTAGAGTTTATCATTAGTTATCTCGGCTTGCTTCAGAACTCTCATCAGTGCTGTTTGTTTTGGTTTTCTGTTTGCCTCCTTAATTACTTTTGCGACTTTAAACTGTGCCTAATAAAACAGTGACATTAAGTTGAAGGCTTTACGGGACTTTAATATATGTTTTGGGTTTTGGGTTATTTTGAGAGACTACGGGTCATCGCAGGAGCTCTGACATGCTGGACATTAACTCCAAATTATAATAGAGTTTGACCTACAGTGAGGCTGCTCTTGTCAGGAAGAAGGTTTGTAAGAATATCAAGATAGGCCTTTGAGAGAAGAATGTCACTTCTCTCACTACAGACTCCTCTGCAAGAGGAAGTTAAGCAGGATCATAAGCACAAAGAGACTTCAATCAGCTTGGACTGCAGCCAATCTATGACCAGGTTCTTGTGGAAAAATGCCCAACAGTTGTACTTCTCAGAGGGAAGGGAGAAAAAGAAATCTGGCTGAAATTATCACTGAGCTCCTCTTTCTCAATTAAAGAGCAAAGCAAAGAAATGCACATCTGAATCAGAATTTTTCTGCAAATGCAAAAGAAACTACCAGGAAGAACAGAGGTTTCCGGAATATACTCCAAAACCAAACAACAGCCAAGCCAAGAAGTTCACAGCATGGTGTTTTGTTGGTTTTCAGGTGAAGCTTGGTATAATAAAGACAGAGTCCCAGTATTTGCCTCTGTCAGAATATTCATGAGCTGACAGAGACATGGTAACAAGGTCAGCCAATGAATAGGCATGGCAACTGGATCAGCCAACGGGGGCTGTTTTGGAAACAGAAACTTAAGGAAGGAGTCTGGGCGTGGCTTAGCTCTGTGCTCAGCTCTAAAACAAAACTAGTCTGTACTTGTCTTTCTGAACTGAAACTAAGAACTTACTTACAATCTCTCCTCAATCATGTTGGAAAAATCTGATGTTGGTATTGTAAATTTACTTCATGTATTATTATGTATATGAATTAGTTAATGAATTAGTTAATGAATCCTACTGAATCAGCGATCTGTGTGTGCTTTCTGGATTTGATTTTCTGCAACAAACTCTCACAGCCTCAATAAGCTTTACATGTTTATTCAGCTTAATAAAGATGCCCCCCTTCTCATTTGAACACACTGTGATACTCTTATTTATATGCTTGCTACATTGTTTACTTCATCGCCCAGAAAAACTGGCACTCTATAGATAAGATAAAGAACTACAGAAACAGTCAGCTACCTCTCTTGGTGGCATTCCAAGGACATTGAGTGCTACCTCAGGGACATTGGGTGTCTCCTGGGGAACTTTGCAGGACCTGGAAGACTTGCTGAGATAACTGTGCCAATTGCACATATATTCCCTCAGGACTTTCATTTGAATTATTAGATTCCTGATCAACAGTGGGGCTGTCAGGTTTCTACATAGCAATAACATCGTAATGCACTTCAAACAGGTACAATGTGAACATGCTTACCCCAAGTACTTTGATCTCAGCATTGAAGAATCTCTCCAAACGATTTGGGGGCACTTGTTGAGCATTGATGGAAGTTCCAAGTTGCTGAGCTCCATACTGATGATTTGGTATTGCTCCAGATACCTGAACAGCAACACAGGGGAACCCCTGGGATGTTTGAATTAGGTTGGTTCCATTAGAGGGAATCATGTTTCCACTGGCCATTCTTATTAGAAGTTAAGTACAGCTAAGTTACCTGCAAACACACAAGTGAGGAAATGCTTGTGTCTTAACATTAAGGAGGCAAAATCTGGTCCTTCTCTTTAATCTCACTTTATGAAATAACATTCGTCTCCAATCACAGAAGATTGCCAAAAGGGATCAGGAAGGAGAATAGTAAGTCCAGACAACTTTCTCAGGAAGGGAAAGAGCCCCTCTGGCCAAGGGTCTTCAAACTTGCCAAGTTTAAGGCCTGTGGACTTCAACTCCCAGAATTCCTGAGCGAACATGACTGGAGGAGCAATTCTGGGAGTTGAAGTCCACAAGTCTTAAACTTGGCAAGGTTGGAGGCCCGTGACTCTGACCCTTTCTCCAGACACTCGGGTTTCCTACTGTCTTAGCCCCGTCAGCTGCCGTTCTATTCTGCTCGCCTCTCTCCTCCCATCCACTCGTCATCCTGGCTAAGCAGCCCGGCTCCTGGCTCCGCTAGTCCATTCTCCCCCTTCCAGCCTCAGCTCTTTCGTGGCCACCATTCAGCTGATCGCTCTCTTGGCTCGCTCGCTTGCCCAGCTCAGCTCGCCTACATTGCTCCGGCTCTCTTGGCTCCGCGCTCCCTCCCTCTCTTGCCCCGCTGAGCTCTCATGCAGCCCCACCAAGCACGGGCCCCGCGGTGAGAGCGGTGATAGTACAAGCCTTCTCCCCCTTCGCTATTCTCTCTCTTCTCCCTTCCTAGACCTGCGCTTTCCCCGGCCTCCCCCCTCTTTCGCCCTGTTTCGTTTCAGCTACTATTTCCCCGCTTGCCTTTCTCTTCCTCTGCCGATCGTCCGCGCAGCTCTTCCTGCGCCCCTATTCTTCTCCGTTTCTGTCTCTCTCGTGCTCCGCCGCTCGCGTATCGCTTTTTTGCCCCTGTTTCGCTTTCATTTCTGCTTTCCCCCCCTCCTCAGTTCTCTCCATCCTTTTCCTTCTCTTTTCCCGCCAAATCCTCCCCTTTTAAACTTTTCTCCGCCTTTACCGCCTCTTCCTCTCAAATTCAACAGCAGAAGATTGCCGGAAGGGCTCAGGAAGTAGGCAAGTTTCTCAGAAAGAAAAAGTTAATCATGAATAAGGAGAAGGGCTGTCTTCTTGCTTCCATTCCAATGCAAAATGGCTCTTTTAAAAATCCTAGTGCCATCTCAGATCCACCCAGCTAAATGGAATCTCTCAAATGGACAAAGTTTTACTCTAATGTCCCTCTGTCCTGTTAATGGCAGTTGGATCTAAAGGCATCGGGCATGTTGATTGCCATCTTCCATGTTGATTGCCATCTTCCAACTAGTTCATACTGATTTGGACAGAACAAGTTATTGTGAAGGACATAAGAGCAGGGATCTATATTCCAGTTTTGTTTCTCGGATGTAGTGAGGTTTCTTATCAGAACACAACTGGAGCATCAGCCTAGTTCGCCCCCCCCCAAAAAAAAATCTGGACAACCCCAGAAAGAAGTGAAATGGCAAAGTCCCAAATGCTATGGACATCTTGTGGCCCTCCAAATTTTTAAACCCTGACCCAATTGCCCAAATTAAGAACACAATTAGGATTTTTACATCCCTTAAGAGGAAGCTGCTTCCCTTTAATCAGAATAGAACTTGAAGGGAACTTGGAGGTCTTCTAGTCCAACCCCCTGCTCAAGCAGGAGACCCTATACCTGTGATGGTGAACCCATGGCACACATGCCAGAGGTGGCACACAGAGCCCTCTTGGTGGGCACACACATCATCGCCAGCTGCTCTTCTAGGTTTGGTGCACATGTGCACACCGGCCAGCTGGTCTTTGCAGGCACCAGAGCACTGGAAAATGGCCGAAAATGGGCCCCCAAACAGGTCATTTTGGGGGCCTTTTTGGTCCATTTTCAGGCTTGCTTTTGGGCCATTTTGGGCTGTTTTCAGGCTTTTTTTGGCCATTTGGTGCAGAAAATGGCCTGTAAACAGCCTGGAAAATGCCCCCAAAATGTCCTGAAAATGGAAAATGGCCAAGAAACAAGTGGTTTTTGGCCTGTTTTCCAGGCCATTTTGGGTGGCAAAAATGGCTCAAAGAACAGCCTGTAAGTGGCCTGAAAATGGCCCCCAAACCAGCCAAAATACAGGGATGTGCACACCGGCCAGCTGGTCTTCAGTTTTTCGGCACTCTGGCACACACACATGCATGCACATGCATGCCCGTTCTGGTTTGGGCACTCAGTGCCAAAAAGGTTCACCATCAGTGCCCTATACCATGTCAGACAAGTATCCATTTTTTTCTTTAAAAACTCCAGTGATGAAACACCCAGAACTTCTGAAGGCAAGCTGTTCCACTGGTTAATTGTTCTCACTGTTATGAAGTTTCTCCTTAATTCCAGGTTGCTTCTCTCTTTGATTAGTTTCCAACCATTGTTTCTTGTCCTGCCCTCTGGAGCTTTGGAAAATAAGTTGACCCCCTCTTCCCTGTGGCAGCCCCTCAAGTACTGGAATATTGCTATTATGTCACCCAAGTCCTTCTTTTCTCTAGAGTAGACTAGCCATACCCAATTCTGGAATCATTCATGTGTTTTAGTCTCCAAGCTTCTAATCATCTTTGTTATTCTTCTCTGCACTGTCTCTGTACCTTCTTGGACTATAGAAATTAGATGTTAAGTGGAAATTGACCCCCACCCACCAACCCAATACACTCACTGCTCATAGGACACTTCCACTGTGGAAGTACTGATTATAAAAGCTTTTCTGTCTGCTAATTCTACCCCAAAATGCTCCCATCTAGAATATCTGTGGTGGCTGCGTAAACTACAGATGGCTGGCTGCAGGGAGGAACCATATATTCATTTTTATTTTTAAAAAAGTAATCCGAAACTACTCATGACAACTGCTCGAGATACATGGAAATGAAAGTAGCTTAACTGAAACGAAGAAACTAACAATGTTTCAGGGAAACAAAAGTTGTACTGTCCAGCCAGTTATAGTTAATGGGAATTGGTATAGTTAGTTAGTAATTGGGAACTATCCCCTTAAGGGAATGCATCATGGTAAATGTAGTTAAGGTATCCTGGGAAATGTAGTCCATGTCATGTGGTCACTTCTGTAATCCTGATTGGTCACTGAATTGACCCTTGGTGGGTTGGGGGAGGTTTCTTCACTCTTGCTCGGACCCTAGCATCGAACTAGCGTCTCTCCTTTGGCTCCACTATGGGATGAAATATGGGATGAAAGAATTACTATCATTTTACACTATGATTTCAACTATGCAAAGAATTGGACATTAGATGCATCTCAGCATAAGTGTGAGATACCTTGAGGATACCTAATATAATCCAATAAAAGAAACTTTGTATGGAAGAATTCGTAGAGTTATCTATCTGTCTTTATATTCAACAATTGAATCAAAGGACAGAATAAAAGTAATTTAACAGAAACAAGTGGAGGGCGGAGGGCTTTACTCTGGAGGGATTTACTCATGCCTTAATCGCAGACTCCAGAAAATATGAGTGCAAAGCTCACCAATTTCTAGGTGGCATTTTTTGTTAGATGACATAGGCCAAATTATGTTCAGAAGCAAACTAGAGCTGCAGATAACAAAATAGGCCATACTACATGTATTTATTATTATTATTATTATTAATCCTTTTTTGGTAGCCTCGTTTTTCTGGTTCTGCTTTGTAGTAGCATTTCATTACAGTGCGGTTCTCTGACATGATGTATTTCTGCCGCTTCTGAGGTTGTTCAGCTTCCAGTAGCCCTGCAGGCCCATGCCCTGGTTGCTCAGCTTTGGGACCCATGGCCTGTAGCCCACTTGTCAATGGATGCCCAGGTTCCCCAGCACCCGACGTGGTCCTTGTTAACCCAGGCGACAACTGAGCCAGTATAGGCTTCGTTCGGTTGTGTTTCACCATGATTCATTGCATGGGTTGTTATGTGCACTCAGTTCTGCTCCTCGGCCTAGACCTCTCTGACATGGTTGGACCTGCTGGTAGTTTGTACTACCATCAGCACAGCTCTCAGCTTCATTGGAACAGTTAAGCCCCCGCCATGCCAAGGTGGCACCCCGTGAGGGGAATACAGACATACAGACTGACAAAGTTCTGGAACACAATACCCCTGATATCACGATTGTGGAGAAGAAAAAAGTGTGGATCATCGACATTGCCATACCTGGTGATAGCAGAATCGATGAGAAACAACTTGAAAAAGTCACCAAACATCAGGACTTGTGAATCGAACTGCAGAGACTCTGGCATAAACCAGTGCAGGTGGTTCCAGTGGTACTCGGCACACTGGGTGCTGTGCCTAAAGACCTAGGCAAAAACAATTGGTGCTGACAAGATCACCATTGGTCAGCTGCAGAAGGCCACCTTACTGGGATCTGCTCGCATAATCCGCCAATACATCACGCAGTCCTAAACACTTGGGAAGTGTTCGACTAGTGATTTGTGCTACGAAATCCAGCACGGTTATCTCGTCTGCTGTGTATACTGTCATTTTTGTGTATAATAATAATAATAATAATAATAATAATAATAATAATAATAATAATAATAATAATACATAAACATTTTCAATACAGCATTTTATCAGAGTCTGTTATTTACAAAGAATAAGAACTATAGCTAGTACTATAAATATATTGTCCCATTTTCTAATAAGAATACTTATAATATAATATAATATTGTAGTTATACACCTTTTCTGTTTTTAATAAAAACATTCATTGTTTTCTTTCTCTATACTCTGGTTTCTCTTCAGATCATATAAATCTTTCGCCTTTTACATGTATTACCTTCAACTGAACTCAAATAAACTTAGACATTTAATATCATTGCAATAAGTTTGTGCTTCATTTGTTACTGCAATCTTAACTTCTATGAGTTAGCTCAAGGTTTTGCAACTTTGGCCTGTTTAAGTCATGTGGAGTTCAACTCCCAGATTTCCCCAGAGAGCAAGGATAGGAAAAATTCTGGAAGTCCGTACATTTTAAAGCTGTGGAAGTTGGGAAACACTGATTTAATTCAGTGGTCACCAACCAGTGGTTTGCCAACTGGCGAGAAAATTTTGGTGGTCCTCAGAGAAATGTCACCCCCAGAGCACCCCACAAAGCAATTAATCCAGGCTGCATGGAAACACAAGGCTCTGCTGCCCACATGGCCCATGGGAACCCTCCCCGCTCACTCACTCCTTACCTGGTAAACTTGCCTGCTAAGATGCTATTTTCCTTTCCCCCCCCCAACCATCAGCTGTTCTGCTGTATCGGGAGATTTTGATGAGCTAGAAAGCAGGAAACAGTGGGATTTCTTGCTTTCTAGCTAATCTTTAGATCCGGACCTTTCTTAGGAATGAAACTTCTATTATTCAGTGCAGACTCAGGTAGCCGATGGCAGATGGATAGATCTCTTGAGTAAATCTGTGATTCTGTGAGCAACTCAATCTGCCTGCCTGCTTTGCCTGATTTTGGGTAAAAGTTGCTCTTTTTTTATAAAATCAATATTTACATAAATATTTATAATATTTACATACAAGCCATGCCCAACCAATCACATGACCACCAAGCCACACCCACAAATTAGGCCACACCCACAAGCTCGGTAATAACTCCTGCCTCTGTGTGTGTGTGTGTGTGTGTGTGAGAGAGAGAGAGAGAGAGAGAGAGAGAAAGAGAGAGAGTATGAGAGAGAGAGAGAGGTTAGATCAGATCTCTCTCTCTCTCTCTCTCTCTCCCCCCAACATCAGCAAGCCAATGCTAGTCAAAATTCATATTAGTGGTCCCCGGGATTTAAAATTATGAGTTTGGTGGTCCCTGAGGTCCAAAAGGTTGATGACCCCTGATTTAATTGATCTCAACTAAGCATGTCTGCATTTAGCTGAGTTTGTAGAAATGTTTATCAAAGAAAATCCCCCACTCACAACTTTTGCAAATGTTTTTCAGAACAAT